TCCATTGAAAATAATGCCTTGGTTTACGAATGTTTTTCGCAATACGAACGGATTAATTGGTTTTCAATGCATTTACAAAATTTTTTTCTAAACAAGTCCCTGTACAGTACTATGCCTTTGAAGTGCACTTTATTATTATTATTATTATACAGTATTTATAAAGCGCCAATAGTTCGCTCAGCGCTGAACATTACAGAGGGGAACAGAACATGTGACAGAACAATACCAATACAATGCAAAACATGAGGGGATCGAGGGCCCTGCTCTTTCGAGTTTTGAACAAATAAAACTTTTTTTTGACTTTTTTCTGACCTCCGAAACGGATTAATTGGTTTTGAATGCATTTACAAATTTTTTTTTTTTAATCATGTCCCTTTATACCTTTAAAGTGCACTTTATAAAGAGTTTTCAACAGATAAAATTTTTTTTTACTTTTTTCTGACCTCCGGAACGGATTAACTGGTTTTCAATGCATTTACTAAATAATTTTTAATCATGTCCCTGTACAGTATTTATATTTTTAAAGTGCACTTTATAAGGAGTTTTGAACAGATAAAATACTCTTTTTTTTTTTACTTTTTCTGACCTCCGTAACGGATTAATTGGTTTTCAAAGCATTCCTATGGGAAACCGCTTTTTCGGTTTACAAATTTTTTGCAATACAAAAAGTCCCACAGAATGAATTAAATTCGTAAACCGAGGTACGCCTGTATATTTGCTCTGAGTGAATGAGACTTTAGAAACAACAAATAAACACCACCAGGGAACTAACCCAAGTCATTTAAATAACTGCACACTATTTTCTTCTGCACAAATTGCCCACCTCCCTGTAAACACTGTCCCCCTCCCTCTGCACATTGCCACTCCCTGTGAACACTACCCCTCCCTGTACACACACCGCCCCCCTCCTTGTGCACATTGCTCTTCCCTATAAACACACACTGCCACCTCCCTGTGCTCATTGCTCCTCCCTATAAACACACTTCCACCTCCCTGTGCACATTGCTCCTCCCTATAAACACACAGTCCCCCCTCCCTGTGCACATTGCTCCTCCCTATAAACACACTGCCCCCTCCCTGTGGACATTGCTCCTCCCTATAAACACACTTCCACCTCCCTGTGCACATTGCTTCTCCCTATAAACACACACTGCTGCCTCCCTGTGCTCATTGCTCCTCCCTATAAACACACTTCCACCTCCCTGTGCACATTGCTCCTCCCTATAAACACACAGTCCCCTCCCTGTGCACATTGCTCCTCCCTATAAACACACTGCCCCCTCCCTGTGGACATTGCTCCTCCCTATAAACACACTGCCGCCTCCCTGTGCACATTGCTCCTCCCTATAAACACACTTCCACCTCCCTCTACACATTGCTCCTTCCTATAAACACACTGTCCCCTCCCTGTGCACATTGCTCCTCCCTATAAACACACTGTCCCCTCCCTGTGCACATTGCTCCTCCCTATAAACACACAGTCCCCTCCCTGTGCACATTGCTCCTTCCTATAAACACATTGCTTCCTCCCTGTGCACATTGCTCCTCCCTATAAACACACTGCCGCCTCCCTGTGCACATTGCTCCTCCCTATAAACACACACTTCCACCTCCCTCTACACATTGCTCCTTCCTATAAACACACTGTCCCCTCCCTGTGCACATTGCTCCTCCCTATAAACACACTGTCCCCTCCCTGTGCACATTGCTCCTTCCTATAAACACATTGCTTCCTCCCTGTGCACATTGCTCCTTCCTATAAACACACTGCCCCCTGCCTGTGCACATTGCCCCTCCCTGTACACACTGCCCCCCTCCTTTTCTGTTTCTGGATGGCCTGACACTATCTGGTGTTCCCGCAGAACTCCTGCAGCACCCTTGCTGCTGCTTGCCCAGATCCTTAATGTTTATTTGTAAGCAGGGGACAATATTCCTCAACACTGCAAGGTAAATTAAAGGGGCCAAGTCCTGGAACGAGTTCCTGTACTGGTTTCCAGGACACAGCCTAGACACGCGGGAAGCCAGGATTTTGTTGAAATCCTAGAACAGTCCCATGGAATCCGGGATGGTTGGGAGGTCTGCCTAGAGATTCCATAGCTGATTTACAGCTATGAAAAGGTAGACACATAGACTTTGTGAAAACACAAAGGATGAAAGCAGTGCAACAGGCTTATAGTGTAGTAATGTGGAGCAGCATTTACTCATAAAATAACCTGATAAAAACTTCCTCAAAAACAGAGAGCACAGAGTGGTAGAGCAGCAGGAAGGATCTGGTGTCATGGCAGAGGACTTCTAGTTCTGGCCACGGACAAAGTCAGTACACCGTCTTGCGATGTAAAAGAGAGTCTGTCCTATATTCAGATGAACCACCGTCTAAGACCTGGTCACCAGTGCTCTGCCCCAATGGTGACGTTACAGTGATACAGGAATACGTTTCATGGAGGGCTTCCCCTTCATAAGGCTCCATAAGTCTTCATTAGTGTTAGATTCAGCTGTTTGCTGTTTAGTCACTGGGACTACCTCTGATTTTTATGAATGAATGATCTATACATATTGTAATAATGTCTGAACATTTTTTCCTATTTCCATTTTTTATTATTTTTTTATGCTCAATTGATACTTTTCTTTTCTATTTTGCTGATTTTGAAAGGAGTTCTAGGACCTTGTCCAGGGTCTCTTGTCTAACCTATAATTTATACTGGAGCCATGATTAGCTCTTTAGATTTTATGGCATGGGAAACATATTGTCAATGATTTACAAAGTGAGTTTGCGTTGTGTAATGTTTTCTTTTTCTGCAGGTTTACGTGTGCTAGCTAGGACACGGAATGGCTCATCATTTAAGTTCAAGGCCTAGCAGAGCATCTGTTTCTGTTACAAGTGTAACAAAACCTTCAAAGGTATATCTTCAATAAAATCACTCCCACACATGTAAATATGCATTAACAATGATGACACTATGGGACACTCCATGTCTGCTATTTTTTATGAGGGTAAAGAGTTACTCTGTTTTGTTTTCATATCCTACCTCCTCCTTTTGCGATAAGAACAACTATAATTTTGTTTTTTTTTTTACACTCGTGCTTGCGTATTGTACATAAATGCAGCAGAACAGACGGGCTGATGTTAATTCTTCCATTTCCATCTTCCCATGGCATTACTGTCTTCTCTTGGTTTTAAGACCATTTTTTTTATCACGTAGGAGGTCATCTTAACCTACAAAATGATAAAGTCCCTACCCCCCCCCCAAACACACACACACACACACACTGGTGGCCATTGCACCAAATCCTTCTGGTCTGGACTTTGCAAGTTTTTAAGAACACAGATTCCACATATTTTTAGTCGCCATACATCAAGTGGTCACACCTGTGCTTATGACTATCACAATTCTAATTCCTTACCAAGTCTGTAACTCTGCTTAGGTCTTAGGCACACTGGGCTTTTAGCCCCAGTGCATGAGAGCGCGGCATATTGGTGTGGGCCTAAGGCACAAGCGCACCGTCCAGCCCAACTGCCAGTGGCCTGTAAAACTCTGAGAGGCTGGGAGCTGCTGTGGTTGGGTGGTGCACTGAGTGGGACTAACATTTAGGGCAGTATATGCCCAAGCATGAATGCTGGGAATGCAGACTGCTTGCACTCTAGGCATTCATCCCTGGGCACATATGTGCTAAACCACTTGGTGCACCATCAAACCACTGCAGCTTTTAGCCTCTCAGAGTTTAACAAGCTGTCGGCAGCAGGGCTGGATCGTGGTGCATCTGCCTTCCATCTCTACTAAAATGCCAGGATCCCATGCACTGGGGCTAAACAGCCCCTGAAAAACATATCAAGACAATCAAATAGTTAATTAAAATTAAATTGAAAGTATAAACTACAAAATCTGTTCAATCGGTGAATTGCTGATACTATCCAGGAAACTTGAAACAGGGCTTTTAAGTCAGCTTAATTTGAGTTTTATTTCATTGACTTTAGCCAGATTCCAGAGAGCTCCTTACATCTAAGATGGAGGAGTCTGTTACCTGAATCGTTGCTGTGTATCTGCCTCTCTTTCTTTCTTCTTGATGTTTAACAATTTCGATTTAAACAGTTGAATCAATTGACCAGAGGATTGCGGAGAAATGGTTTACATATACAGTACATTACTGTGGTCTTACTAAATGCTGGAGTTGTTTCCCCATGGCCATGGATCAAATTCAGGCTTTAAGGGCATATCTTACACTGATCAGTGCCTGCAGAAAAGTAGTTCTTGCTCTTAGTAAGAAGGCATTGGTACATATGGCCCGATATGTATTGTTGGTTCTTGAGACTTTGAAATTCTTTTGGTATTTTAGAGTTTGTGCTGTGTGCTGTTGAGTACCATTACCACATTTTATATAAATCAGTTCTTTAGATAAATATACCTGTTAGTCTAAGACAGGTCTCCAAACTGTGGCCCAGGGGCCGGATGCGTTCCTTTGCCAGTCTTTAACCAGCCCTTGGGGCACTATTCCTCTGAATGATATAAGGCACTATTCCTCCCACTGACACCAACAATGGTGCACTACTTCTTCCACTGATACCAATGACGGAGTACTATTCCTTCCAGTGACATGAGGCATTATTCCTTCCACTGACACCAACAATGGTGCACTATTTCTTTCTCTGATACCAATGAAAGGTTACTATTCCTTCCACTAATACCAATGATGGGTATTAGTGGAAGGAATACTGTTCCTTTTACTGACCACCAACACTGAGGCCATGTTTATTTTCACTGATGCAGGGCCCGGGACATTTTCTACCCCTACTGAACAAAATCCGACCCCCCTAAAGTCTTAGATACAGTACACTGGCCCTTTGAATGAAAAGTTTGGAGACCCCTGGTCTAAGACATGGAGACACCACAGTATATAATCAAAGGAAACACTTTAGTGTAGTTATGTTACATATTAATATTATATACAGGATATTTTTGCATTAGTATATTTATATATACTGTTCCTTTGTTTTTATATTCTAGAACACTAGTGGGAATCAGCAGCCAGTAATCCTTACTGCTGTGGCTTTGCAAGATCACATACTACAAAATCTCCAGCTGCAGCACCTCTCTTTTGTGGATCCATGTAAAGGAGTCAGCACCATAAGAGGAACCAGACCTGTGAATAAAAGGCAGATAAAAGCTGTTGTAGATACCGGAATTAGGAGGAAACACACAGACAAAGTTACACTGAACGGGACAGAGAAGGAGTATGTGCTTGACCCCGCTGGACCACCATTAACTTTGGGCAAGTCAATATTTGGTGATGCACCATGGTGAAATTTCAAATGTTTGTGATGCATAGCTTTATTGCTTATAATTAACTAGCAAACGTGTGCTCACTGGTGCTTATGGAAAAATGGGTTGTTAGAATGAGAGAAAAAAATTGGTCCATTGAAGTGGGTGAAAAAAAAAATGCCCCAACATCAGTAGTCAGCATAAGGAAAACATATCCTAGCATCAATGGTCAGTGGAATTGAAACATTTCCCCACATCAGTGGTCAGTGGAAGTAAAAAATGCCTCAGCATCAGTGGTCAACATAAGGAAAGCATATCCTAGCATCAGTGGTCAGTGGAAGTGAAAAAATGCCAGAGCATCAGTGGTCAACATAAGGAAAGCATATCCTAGCATCAGTGGTCAGTGGAAGTGAAAAAATGCCAGAGCATCAGTGGTCAGTGGAAGTAAAAAATGCCCCAGTATCTCTGGTCAGTGGAAGTAAAAAATGCACCATTATCACTGGTCAGTGGAAGTAAAAAATGCCCCAGTATCTATTGTCAGTGGAATGAAAATATGCTCAAATCAGTAGTCATTAGGATGAAAATGCTCCAGCATCTGTTTCTCAGTGGAAAGAAATATAACCCTATGTTGGTATTCAGGAGGGAAATGCCCTGGTGGTTGGTGAAAAGAAAAAACATTGATGCATCAGTAGGAGGAAAAAATGTTTCTAGCATTAGTGGTCAGTCAAAGAAGAAATGTCCTAGCATTGGTATTACATTAAAAAGGACAATGTCCCAGTATCAGTAGTCATTACAATGGAAAATGCTCCAGCATTGGTGGGAATAAAAGGGCCACCATTGTTGGCCAGTGAAAGGAAAAAAATTCAGTGTCATTGGTCAATGAGAGGGAAAAATGCCTTAGCATCGGTACTCAATGAGAGGAAAAAATGCTCCATCATCAGTGGCCAGTGGCACCTCCACCATGGGTGGTCAGCAAGAATGGCACATCATTGGTGTCATGTTGGGTAGGAGATCACTTCACCTAGACGACCCACAAAGGACCTTTGCTGGAATATTCCAGCACCTGACACCCAAAGCCACTCTGAAGTTTGGAGGTCTTTGGTTCGTGCTTAGTGACAAATTACAACATGGACAATACAGGGGACATAGGCACCTCTGTAGAGATTGGACCCTGTGCACTGCCCAGATCGCTCATATAATTGTCCATCACTGCACAACACAGGAATGCAGTTTAGCGCTTCCATTTATATCTATGGAGCCTGTAGTTAAACCAGCGCAGTAGAAATCTGGCTTTTGATTGAGCAGGTTTTGGCCATGCCAGAGGGGAAGAAATCATCCCACTGGGTATGGTAAAAGTGAGGACCTAGTAGGAACTTTATCCTTTGTGTTAACCTAGGTGAATTGAGGCTGTATGTAATTGACACTATTGTATGTGTCTTCATACACTGGCAAAGCCTTTATCACTAGCAAGAAAAGCATTCCATTAATGTATTAATGTCCCTTTCCTTCTAGAAAGATTTTCTTTGTAAAGTTTTAGTGTTTCTCAAACCATTCCTTTAACTTTATGAAAAATGATGACAACTTAATTTCTTAACAAAAAGTACATTTCAAAAGAATATCAAGCTTTGTGAATGTACCTGTCTGGGCAGAGGTTTCAGAAATCACCAAAGACACGGATGTTTTCATTTATCATAGAAAAAACTGTTCAAATCCTACTGACTGTCTGTAAATTGTTTTCTTTCTGTGTGCAGACTATCAGACAGTTTAGTTTTGTTAGCATCTCCCATGGTATATGGTTGCTTTACTGTCTGAGTCCATGGGTGTTTGCAGGAAAGGATTGATGGCAAAATTTGTCTCTTAGAATAGAGGACCAATAAGGATTTAAACACCTTCACCTGACATATTTATATCTTTGTAGCCAAGAGCTATGATACAACATCAATGGATGCAAAGAAACACAGTGGCTAAGTGGTTAGTACTTCTGTCTGGCAGCACTAGGGTTGTTGGTTCAAATCTCCAACCATAGCACTACCTAGAAGTTTGCATGTTCTCCCTGTCCCTGTGTGGGTTTCCTCCGGGCTTTCTGGTTGCTTCCCCCACTCCAAAGACATGCTGGTAGGTTAATTGGTGCCTGTCTAAATTGGCCATGGTATGTGAGTTAGGGTCCTTAGATTATAAGCTCCTTGAGGGCAGGGGCTGATGTGAATGTATAGTAAATATGTAAAGTGCTGCATAAATTGATGGCGCTATATAAGTACCTGTAATAAAGAAACAAAAAAAACTTTCTTTCTCTGGCAAGGCATTGCAGCAAGTTAAAAAAAAGGGGGAGGGGGGGTTGGCGCAGCACCCCCCCCCCCCCCTTTTTATGTTGCATCTTCACTATCTGATATATAGTTGGGTGCTTGCCGCTTTCTTAGACTATAGGGTTAGCGTAGTATTGTAGTGGCAGCATGCAGTGGCACGCAGAAGGTTTTTCCCTATTCTATAATTGCAGCAAGTTAAATGCTACATTCCATATGTCCTGGAGTGTGATTGTGGGATGTGCCTTCAGCTGATGATTGACTGCCAGCAACAGCCAATCAGAATCAAGGGATGGATCCAGCGCAAATAGCCCAGCTTTTGAAATAGAGTGGTATGAAGTGCCAGTAAGGTGCATTTGTCCACGCAATGTAAGTTAGCCAGGTACTTCTGGTGCGCAGGATGCCCTGGTACCATAATATGTATAAAGTAGCGCACAGAGGTAATATTCCAAATGCAGGTAGTGCATAGGTAATACTCAGGCAGCCTCCAGTACTCCAACAAAGTATGGCTCACCCATAGATATGCATGGGGCTGTAGCACACATTTGACAGTATGAAGGAGCAGGGATGATAGCTGTATTGGAGAGTGGATTGGTGGGTGGCAGTCAGAAGGGCAGGGAGTTTATTAAAGGGTAACTTCACCAAGGACCCATTTACTTCTTTTAACGTGCATTATATTTGGTGTTAATGTGCAGCACTTTAAAGCAGCACATGACACTTTTTTTTCTAATGCAGTGCACTTCCTAGCATTGCAGCATGCTGCAACTTAGGTGCATTGCCTTAGCGTGTTGGAGTGCCATTCAATATTTTATTTATTTATTATTTCAGGTACTTATATAGCACTGTCAATTTATGCAGCTCTTTACATATATATTGTACATTCACATCAGTCCCTAACTCTCAAGGGGTGTACAATCTAAGGTCCCTAACTTACATTCATACATACACATACTAGGGCCAGTTTAGACAGGATCCAATTAACCTACCAGCAGGGGCGGACTGACAACTCATGGGGCCCCTGGGCAATAGGGGATCATGGGGCCCCTGTGTCCTTGCCCAAACTCAAAAAAGCCTATGAAAAAGGTACCAGGGGCATCTCATGGGGCCCCCTACTGACCCCGGGCCCTCGGGCAGCGCCCGAGTTTCCAAATGGTCAGTCCGCCCCTGCCTACCAGCATGTCCTTGGAGTGTGGGAGGAAACCGGAGTACCCAGAGGAAACCCACGCAAGCACAGGGAGAACATGCAAACTCCAGGCAGGTGGTGCTGTTTTTGGGATATAAATATAAATGGTACTGCAGTGCACCAACAAATAAATAATTTGCGCTAGTAAATGTGTATAAATATATAAATATATAAAAGAAATCATCAAATCATAAGTCCAGAAAAAAATATATATATATATGCCAATACCACAAAAAAATATAAAAAACTTTTAGGTGCAAAAAACTTTTGTGCAAAAAAAGTGTCTGAATATGAAAAATTTCACCAAAAAACCTTGATAATATAATGGCAGATCATCCATAAATATATCTTCAGAAACGGAAACTCTGCAGCACACCGATCCTCATCGATCGAAATAACAGGATGAAAAACTTTGTAGTTAATCGAAAATCCACTTCTCCAATAGGTAAAGGACCACCTTCAAATGTATCCATAGGGGGAAATGCCAAGCACTCGAGAGAAACAGAAAGACTTCATGGTGCAATATTATAAAAACCAATTCCTTTATTAGGTACTCATTGCACTTACTCAAGAGGTGTCCCAGCCGACACCAGCATCAACAGCATAACAGCAATCACATAAACGAGCCAGGCTACTCAGCACATGCGCAGTAGCTGGCAGCCAAAAACGTAATGACGTCACATCAATCAAGCCCCGCCCTACGCGTTTCGTCATCGACGTCCTCACGGAGCGGATAGATGTGAGACGTCTCAACCTCCTTAAATATTCACTCACAGGAAACGAACAGCTGACATCAATGGGGAATCAAGCAAAGCAAGCCGCCCCATCGATGACAGGAGTCCACAAAGGATATACAATGTATCCAATATATTTGCCATCACAAGCAAAAAAACTTTAAAACAAGAGAACAAAAATAAAATAAAAAATTAAATAAACAATAATAATAAATAAATTAAATGAATACAATAACGGGCCAGTACCCTCTAAGACTGTGTTTCAAAAAGGGAACTTAAAGGGCCAGTAACACTTTAAACACAAATAAAGGGGAACTCTAGTAATAATACAAAAATAATACAGAAATTGTACAAAAAGCATACAATCTCCCATATATCATCTTTAAACAGTTGCCTATATAAAAATATACTTAAAATAGCATAAAAATTAACCCAAATGGTTGCAAGGAATTTAGTTCATAAATCCAAAACGTCTCTTTTTTGGAAATCTCATTAACCAAATCCGAGCCCCTCCAATGGGGTTTTACCATCTCGATCCCATAAAAGGTAAGTAAGCTCGGATCACAATTATGTACCAATTTGAAATGTTTGGATACACTATGTTTATCGAATCCTTTTACTGTGTTTCTTATATGTTCGCCTATTCTTGTTTTTAAACATCTCCCAGTTCTCCCAATATATCTCAAATGACATGGACATTCTAAAACATAAATCACATGTGTAGAATTACATGTAATCAGGGGATTTAATATCATATTCTTTTTTGGAAAATGAAGAGCAGAATGACTTTCTTTTTTTTATTATTACCAACTTTTACAGTCCTACAAACTTTACACTTCCTACAAGGAAAAAAAAAACATTTAAATTTGGAAACAGATCGAACTTTTTTGGGGGTTCGATGACATTGCGAACCAGTTTCATCCTAAGAGACTTATTTTTCTTATAAATGAATTTAGGAGTTTTAGATAAGAATTTATTTAGTATATCATCTTTTAACAAAATGGGCCAATATTTTTTAAAAATTCGTTCAATATTTTTGTATTGCATATTATAGTTAGTAATAAAGGGTACATTATTTTCAAATCTTAAATGAGCCTTTCTATTTCCAAGAAACGTCTCCCTATCTTTAATACTAATCGAATTTCTCTCTTTAATCAAAAAGGTCTTATCATACCCTTTCTCTATAAATCTTTCAATTAACACCTCAGATTGATCGAAAAAATCTTTGTTAGCGCTACAATTTCTTTTTAATCTGGTAAACTGACTTTTTGGAGTGCTATATAACCAATTTGGATGATGTCCACTAGAAATAGGTATATAGCTGTTTTTATCCACTTCCTTGAAGTAAGTTTTGGTGCAAATTTGGCCATTATCTTTATATAGGACCAGATCCAAAAAATTAATTTGCTCAAAATCACTAATAACAGTGAATCTCAATCCATAGCGGTTCATATTAATATATTCCATAAAGGAATCGAGCTTTTCTCTGGATCCATCCCATACCATTATAATGTCATCAATATACCTCTTGTATAGCGCCATCTCTGGCCATTTATTGAAAATACTTTCTTCCTCCCATTTATCCATTACCAGATTTGCCAACACATGTTAAGTGCATTACCTTGCACTGCAGTAATACATGCATTGCGGCAATGAAGAATGGTAAATGGGCCCTAAATATGTCTTTTTTTTTTTTTAAACTCCTTTGCTGCTTGTTAAAAATGTGTGAAAACGTTGTTGTACATAGTTTAGACACAGGTGCACTTTGAGCGGGGGGATAGAGCAGTGTTTACCCTGCCCTTAGTACCTAATCTCCAAATCTTAACTTTAATACAACACCAAAGATACATACTAGTACGTATGTAAGTATGTGAAAGCTGCATCAAAAGTGCTCACTACTGGTCCTTTAACCTCCCTGGCGGTATGATCATGTCAGGAATTTTGTGCTGAAAGCGGTACCATTTTTTTGCATGGAAATATGTAGTTTTTAATTGTAGGCTGTAATTTTTAGGAATAACTCACTGAAATCTGTCCGAAAAAGAGTCTAGTAAACATCCCGGGGGATGATAAAACTTGAAACACGAAATCATAAATTATAATTTAATAAATAATCATAAAAAATAATAATATAATAATAAATTTAATTCAATAATATAATCAAACCAAAAACACTGAAATTTGAAATACAGAGGCAAATTTGCACATCGATGAGCAAAGTCGCAAAATCGTTTTCAGTGTCTGATGAGGAATTTCCCCACGAATCATTATCACTCAATTCTGCAAGTGGTTCTGATTTACTATCGCTGTTCTAAAACCGCTTTTGACGTAAAGGGACGCTTTTTGGCCGCCATGGACTTTTCTAAGTTTCCAGGCAGAAAGAACATTCAAAATGCAGGCAGGGCACAGGACAAAGCAGTGGGGACAAAATGTATGTGAAATGCAGTGAAAAAGCAATGTCAGCAAAAATGTCATTTTTTAAAAATTTCAAATTTCCCGCCGGTTCCACCGCCCGAACGTTCTGACGTCACGGGGACCGGAACACGGAAGCCAGATGCCGGCATCCGCCGGAGGAGATGGACGGGGACGCTGCAGGGGACCCATCGTGGGAGCGAAGGACAAGGTAAGTGCTGCAGGGACCCCCAGAGAACGCTGCATGGTAAGCCCGAGTGTAGCTCGGGGTTACCGTTCTTGGTATAGAAATTCTACCCCGAGCTACACTCGGGAAAACCGCCAAGGAGGTTAAGTAGATCTAAACCCAACAGAATATTACATTCCTAAAGCACTTGTGTGTCATAAACAATTATCATGTTTTTTTTTTTAAATCCTTTTGTGTATCTCAGTGCTGCTGAGACCCATTTTAGTCAATTCCCTCCACATGCAGTTATTCCAGCATCATCCGCACATCATTACTGTGAATTAACTTCCTGATTGTGAAAACAGTGGACCATGCTTGCACTATGTGTGTTGGCATAGCCACTTGTCCCCAATGGGGGTGTACTGGTCAGAATGACAACCTGTGAACAAGTGAGAGACAGTTGTCACCCTACAACAGGAAATGCCCAAACAGAGATGGTCATGGGTGTATCACCAAGTATTCTTCTAATGACAGCTGCAGATTTTAAAGCCCTTCCTTAATTGGTAGAAAAAAAAAAACATGGTCAATCTAAAATATTTTTTTAGAGAAATATTCTAACAATATGATTTATTACAATAGCACCAAGTAAATGCTTTCTTGTGTGGTCATCAAAAGAGGTGTTAGTTCAGTCACGTTTCTTCTTGAATGAGTTAATTCATGATGCTCTCAATGTGACTGATTGATTGCAGTTTTGATGTCTTCCTTGGTTGTAATGATTGACAGGACAAAAGAGTACTTATGGGAAGTGCCCTGTAGTTGTACTCTGAACACCATGTAGCTGTCAGTGTATTCAGTCACTACAGGTGTCAATGGTAGGCGCATAAAAATAATTACTTCTGCATACAAGGTTAGCCAAGACAAATAACATTAAAACTACAGTCTACTTATGAATTTATGAATTAGGCATTGTGTCAATTTTCATCCATTGCTAAATATACTGAATACATTAAAGGATCAGTCCACGAAAACCTCAGGCAGGTTTGTATGTCTCCCAGACACTGGAGGAGTGTTTGGTGCCACAGTTTTTCAGCTGGGATTTCCTGGCATGGGACTGTTAGTATTAGTTCCTGATACTTTTGGTGCAAGGTGAATATCAGTTATTAGTTCAGTTGATGATTGTTTTATGGGTTAACATCAGTTAAACTCAGGGTTGGGGGTTAAGGATTTGGTTTAGAATTAAAGCCAAAGGGGGAGATTTACTAAAAGTGGTGCACAAAAAATCTGGTGTAGCTGCCAATAGTTACCAATCAGCTTCTTACTTCAGTTTGTTCCATTAAGCTTTGGCAATAAAACCTGGAAGCTGATTAGTTACTGCGCACAGCTGCACCAAATTCTGTTTACACTAGTTTTAGTAAATCCTCCCCTAGTTAAAATAAAAAACGAAAAAAGTAGCACAAGGGACATAACAAACAGTGAGCAGGTGTCCCTTATGCTAATAAAGAAAAAAATCCTCTTGCGCTGCCAAACCTATTATGATAAATTAAGAGTGGCTGAAAACACCAAATTGCTTTCCCACAACACTAAAAAATAAACAAATAAATAATAAGTGCTGCGCTACACGCTAAACCTAAGAAAAAAGTAAACACCTGACAGAGCCCCTAACTAAGGTGATATAAGTGTACCAAGATGGCAGCCGCCGTCCGACCGGAAATTATTATTATACAGGATTTATATAGCGCCAACAGTTTGTTCAGCGCTTTACATTATAGTGGGAGACAATACAGCAACAATACTGTTCAATACAAGAGGATTAGGAGGGCCCTGCTCCTTGGAGCTTACAATCTAAGAGGTGTCACCACACTTCCTTCCTACGCATTACATCACCTTATGCTGATTCCTCTTTTGTTAGCATAAATCTTCCTTGGTTCATATCCCCCCCCCCCCCTCCATAATCTTCCAGTGTGGCGATGGTTACTCATAGAAGCTGTAGTATATATTCTATGATTGAACAGTTTGAGGGTATGGGTGCCTACAAACAAATTTACATGTTTATCGACATCGAAAGCTCTACACCCATTAGTATAGTACCAGGCTTCTGGTGTTGAAAAGTGATGTGCCACTTTCAGGAATTTCAGATCTCTGTGCTTATATTCCTTGATTTTTACACAAAACTGTGGCAATAACAAGTCGCGTCCACATTCACTACATGAATCTTAATATTCTTTATGCTGGAGTGGAAGCAGATGAAACACCCTTCTATTGCGGCAAAAGGAGTGAAACTGCAAGGTGGGCAAAAACAGGGGCTGGAAAGACGAAAGGTCAATCTTGCCAGTAAAATTTACTAAACTAAAGTATGGCTCAGGCAATCTCGTTCCAGCTAAACTAAATCCTAACTAAAATTGTATGTCTGGGTAGCCCGACTTTTTAAATATATATGGGATATATAGATTAGATAGAAGCCAATCGATAGTTACAACCAGCCTGTTGGGTTTTTCCCAACTGATCAGTCACGCTGGCTATAGCCGGCAACACTGATTATTGGCATTGGAAGGCTCTCTGCTGGCAGAATACAATAGCGCAACAGGAGTGATTCCCCCATCCACACATTTGATCTTTTTTTTTTTTTAATTCAACCTGCTGGTTGAACAATAAAGTGAATCGTGTATGGCCAGCCTAATGATTACGTAGTACAGAGCAACCAATCAGAAATCAGCATCTAAAGCCAGCCCTAGATGCATCAAAAATGGCCAGATCAGCAGGAACCAGCTGAATTTTGCTCCATCTATGGGCAGGCTGGCTGTGCTGATCAACATCAGTACAACCAACCTGTTGTGTATTAAATCTCATCCTCTTTGTGTGTAGCTCAGAGACTCGGCATTGTAGAGGCTCCAGCAAAACCATTAACTGACGATGAATGGAAGAAAGCAAAGCAAAGATCTGTTGAGCAGGGTGACTCTTTACAACCTTGTGCCATATGTAAAGAAGAGTTTGAAATACACCCACAGGTAAAGTACAGAATTCAGAGACTCCACTATTTTATATTTTCATCTATTTTACCCCTGGCTTTTATTTATTTACTTACCATTATTTCATAATATTGTCTGCTTTACAGGTGCTGCTTTCCTGCTCCCATGTATTTCACAGGGTAAGGGAAATATTTTAATTGTATTGGTGCGTTAATAAAACAGTCCTGGATTACTGGGATCTTTATTTTAGTCAGTTAATTTTAAATAGATGTAGCTTTTCATTTTCTAAAGGTTGACATTGACTTAAAGGGGGAGATTTACCAAAACTGGAGTACTCAGAATCTGGTGCAGCTGTGCATGGGAGCCAATCAGCTTCTAACTTCAGCTTGTTCAATTAAGCTTTGGCAATAAAACCTGGAAGCTGATTGGTTTCTATGCAGAGTTGCACCAGAATTTGCATGCTCCAGGTTCAGTAAATAACCACCTAGAATGTATGTAAAGGAATTTTTTTTAGTTTTGGAGAGAGTGGGAAAGGATTAGACCCCCTCTGAAGTTTTTACTGCTGTTTGTGTCTACACTGGATACGTTTATTTTATCTTCTCCAGCTTAACTGACAGCCAATTGTTTGCAGATTCTAATTCCCATCAACCAGATAATAAAATCGAAGCATAGATGGCCACCAGTGGAGGGGATTACTGTTCACATTGAAGAGATTTGCTCCCATTTTCTACAGCATAGGAAGTGATTGGAAATCTCCCCAGCGGGCAAAAAATAACCCTTCCCTGCTTCAGCTGAAATTATTAAGTGTTCTTGCATGGCAAGACCACTTACTGTTATCTCACATATATATTCTTATTATTATAGCCAAATTTACCACCCTAACTCCTCTCACAGTTTTTACACTACATAGACAGTAATATACCAAAACATGCGGATTGTTCCCGATTGGTGTGCTATTACTTTGTGGAACGTTTTGCCGAATGGTTCACGAAATATCAATGTTTTTGTGGTGAAATTGGTCCCATAGGAATGAATAGGGAAATGTTCAAAACTAGAGTGGGAGCTGACAAAAGCTAGAGTGGGAGCTGAAAAATCAGGACATGATTTCTAAACTGCCATCGCTCCCTCATTTTCAAGCCCACCTACACAAATCTTATGTCAAAATGTTCAGCTATCCCAGCTGCCACTAAAAATGTCCACGGCTAAGCCATAGTCCTGATAGTTTTCACAATATGACCATTTGTTTGCAACGCACGCCGCCCATTGACATTCATTGAAACTGCACTCTAGCCACCTCAAATTTGAAGGGCAATTTCTAAACTGCGACTGTGCCTTAATTTTTAATATTTCAGCTCTTCGGTGTAGGATTTATAATTTTTAAACTACAACCATTTGAAGATGGCAACCGCTAGTGAAGTGAGCAAGTTGGAGCAGTTTGTTTTTAACCGCTCTTCTCTGCCCTTGCTGTAGAGTGAGTTGCCATAAGAACCCAGGTGTGTGAGCAGGCAGCAGAGTGACAAAAGCTAGAGTGTGAGCTGAAAAATAAAAGTTGAAATGCATTTCTCACTCTACCAAGCTTGCCATGTGCACTTTTTAAAATTGATCAATCAATTGGTTAGTGTAATCTTTACTATCTTTACTCACGCCAAACACTCCACACAGTTACTCTGCCCACTCCATAAAGTTACTCTGCCCAGTCCAACCTTTTCACAGTTACTCCAGCCACTCCAACCACACAATAGTTACTCAAGCCACTCCATCCAGTTACTCCGCCCACTCCAGTTGTAGACTACTGGTGGAGGCAAGAACACTTCACACAATTTCCCCAGAAATTGTAGCTTTTCTAGTTATTATTATTATTATATAGGACTTATATAGCGCCGACAGTTTGCTCAGCGCTTTACATTATGGAGGGAGACAATACAGCAACAATACAGTTCAATACGAGAGGGATTAGAGGGCCCTGCTCCTTGGAGCTTACAATCTAGGAGATGAAAAAGAAGGTTGTTGCTTCACATACACTTAAACATTCTAAGTGATGCACAGTTTTGAAATACTTTGAAACATTTTGTGGAATGCCTTAACTAAGCTACCATTGTAAAAAAATACTGTATATATCTTTAATTAACTATATTAATTATGCCTCTACACCCTCTGTGATATATACAATATATACATACAGGATCTGCCTAACAAAACGTGTCAGTATAATGAAAGACATTAGCCACCTCCCTTCCGGCCATTGTATATAAAACGGCCGGACGGTGGCACTGCAGGGTCAGGTGGCCGTTTATAAACGGCCTCCCCGCACCCTGCTTGTGTGCGCTCCCTGGGAGCGCGCAGCACCGCGATCCGGTGCCCGCTGCATCCTCCGGACACAGTGAAACACCGATCGTCGGACGGGACCTCTGTGCAAGGTCCTGATCATGTGATCAATGATTGGCCAATCAGTGATCAAATGCAAAGTAGTAAGCAAGATGTCACTTGTGACATCATTGCTTACTACGTGTGAAATCTGTGAATGATCACAGAGGTCACATGGTACAAGGCTATTCACAACAGCCTTGTACCATGTGACAAGCTGTGACCAATCACAGCTCACTCAGTAGTTCTCAATGGATGCAGGAATGCAGATAGAGAAAAGGAGAAATGATTGCTTTTACATCCTATATGGGTGTAAAAGCAATCAGTGTAAAAAAATAAAAAGTCGTCATCACCCCCCACAAGTAGTACAGTGTCACCATGGTGATACTGTACTGCTAGGGTGACAGTATGTAAAAAAGAAAAAAAAAAAAAACCAGAAATAATAATATAAAAAAAATAAAATAACAATGTAAAAAAAATGTTTAAAAATTATAATTTTTGGTTATAAACTAATTTGGCTTATTTTTTTTTTTTTTTACTAAAAAGATAACGGAATTTTATTTTGGCCAAGATTTATGATGATATATTATTTATTTGCAAATTTGTATAAGACAAACACTTTTTTAAAAAATGTTTGGACTTTTTCATTTACATAGAAAAAAAAATAAAAATCCCAGCGGTGAATAAATACCACCAAAATAAAGCTTTATCTGTCTCAAAAAAATTGTAAAAAATGAATATGGGTACAGTGTTGCATGTCCGCACAATTGTCATTCAAAGTGTGATAGCGCTGAAAGCTGAAAATTGCCCTGGACAGGAAGGGGGTAAAAGTATCCGGACAGGAAGTGGTTAATAGGTCACATATTAGAACACTGGAAACAACAGGAAATAGTATTATAATGGCTTTTTCCATGGCATTACAATACATTTTGCTACAGTCACCTAACAAAGGCAGGCCATACATTTTACCTTTTTTATGTTCATCGGGTTGAGCAAAAACAATGTACCAAATCCTCCTGCATCGCTATTGTGCTCTGCTGGCGGGGACCATTCCCGACGGCAGAATACAATGTTGCAGCTGTGTGCCTTTTATATTGCACATATGTGTTTCTTTGCAGGTATGTTTGGAAGCCTATGAGAGGTTTGCTGGCAGGAAGGTGTGTCCAATGTGCAGAAAGAATCACTATCAGACAAGAGTGATACATGATGGAGCTCAACTATTCAGAGCAAAATGTGTTACCAGGTAATATGTAGATACTTGTAATGTGATCTGTGTAAAACACCTACAAATTAACGACATTAACCTCTTCCTGACCACTTGGAAGACACACATAAAGATTGCATTCTTGTATTCAGCACCAATGGACGGCAATGCTGGGGTCCTAGTATCAGTTCCCAATAGGCATGCTGTCTGCATAGATTCTTTATGCTCCAAATTGGGGCTTGTGTGTGTTAGATACTAATCTCCCATAGGGTTTGGGATTCATGTGTATATATATTACAAAGCGCTGTTTCACAGCTGAAGTAAAGATGGCTGGTCCCATTCCAGAGAAATGGATCTAATGACTGTATTAAACATTTTCCTTTGACTAGCTGTTGTGTGTTGTGGGGAATCTGTTAATTTTTTTTCTGTCAGCCTAGTGGCTGATTAAAAAAAGACTGGTCCTTGTACGGTCAGCCTGAGGCTGACCATAGACGGAGCAAATTTCTTTCCTGCAACCAAGAAATTAGCTCAATTCCCCCACCAACACAGTGTTGACGGGGGAATCCCTCCCGTGGAGCCATTGTGTTCTCCCGGGGGGGGGGGAGCGTTCCCTATTGGGAGAACACAGTGATTAATGCTAGCGGCTCTGATAGCCACTAGCAATAATCGCATGTGAAATCCGGCAGACTGGTCGTACCCAAGTTGGTCCAAACTGAACCATTCAAGATTCAAACCATCTATGGTTGCCTGAACAGAGCAGCTTGCCCCCCCATCTGTTTGATTGTTGTTGATTAGGATTGCAATAGGAAGAAGCTGCCCCATTTGGATTATCTGGACTGACTTGGCTTTTCCCCATCAGACGCCAACTGCCTACAATGGCATCCTCCCTTATGAATGGACAGATAGGTGCATTACTTTAATTAAATGGGAAAATGTTGTGAAATGGTGTCCACCTAATACTATAGCAGAGCTTAGGGTCATACGTATATTACTTCCAAAACACATCAGTCCTTTATCATTTCCGTTCTATCTGCCAGTAATACCATTCTAGTCTATCTATCTATCTTAAGTGACATAATTGCACAATATTTCTGTTCTGTATTGTCACTACTATTTCATTTCTCAGGATTCAAGCATGCTGGAGGGGATACGTAGTGAGAAAATGGTACAAAAAGTTACGCCAAACAACACCTCCTAAAGATCCTGAATTGCGGAAGAAGTTCTTTGAAAAGAAGGTATCTATCCTTTTTCCTTGTGGCAAGAATGATATTAGCATTATTTTGTATCGTACGCCATCTAGCTTTAGAGATTTCAAGAAAGACATTGGAATCTTTTATAACACTGTGAACTTTTGCTCATCTTGTTTCATTTCATTTATTATGGATTGCACTTAAAAGCAGTAAATCAGTGGGAAAACGTAGGTCATCCCCATTTACTCATAAAACGTCAGTCACACTAATAACTTTATGATGTTCTAAGGGAGAGAGTGAGGAGGTGAAAATGTTCTGATATAACCACAAGGCATTTAGCTGGGTGTTGTTATTGTACATTGTGGAATGTTGATGTAAGTTATATTATATGACATAAACTGTTTCTCAGCAGGCTTATTAAAGGTGTTCCCTATTTTTATGGGTCAGTCAACCCAAACAGATAGTTTAGTTTGTTGCAGATAATAGTGATAGCGCCGAATTTCATTTATGCTCTACACAGGCTGAAAGGATAACATGGTAACATAATCAACTGTTTTTATTATGTTGTCCTTTTATGACTACACATGTCTAAGGCTACATAGTCCTAAACATATAAAATAAAAAAGTGTTTGCTTAAAGCAGATCTTTACCATAAACGGAAAACACTATTTAATTCATTTTTAATATCAAAAGCAAACCCTTCTATCCCTCCATGTCTCCATGCTTTATTTTATTGAGAAAGCCCTTTGAAAACCATTCCCTAGCATTTCTAGCTACAGCCATCTTGAGTAAGGGCAGATAATTCATGTAGCATTTACTTCCTGGAATCCATCTGCTCTTAGTTCAGCCCTGCAGGCAGGAGGATGTGTTTAACTGAGAAAGCCTCTCCTCCCTCCTCCAGGTGAAAGAAAAAAAAATGCTCATGAAGACTTGGGGGATGTATTACATAATTTTGGCCAATGCAGAAACTCGGAATCAACTTAAGAAATGTACACTGCTCAAAAAAATTAAAGGAACACTTTGAAAACACATCAGATGTCAATGGGGAAAAATATGCTGGATATCTATACTGATATGGATTGGGTAATGTGTTAGAAATATAAGGATGCCCCATCATTTGATGGAAATGAAAAGTATCAACCTACAGAGGACTGAATTCAAAAACACCCTGAAAAGTAAGTGAAAAAATTATGCAGCAGGCTAGTCCATTTTGCTGAAATTTCATTGCAGCAACTCAGAATGGTACTCAGTAGTTTGTATGGCCCCCACCACATTGTATGCGTGCCTGACAATGTCGGGACATGCTTCTAATGAGACAACGGATGGTGTCCTGGGGTTTTACCTCCCAGATCTGGACCAGGGCATCACTGAGCTCCTAGACAGTCTGAGGTGCAACCTGGCGGCGTCAGTTGAACCAAAACATGATATCCCAGAGGTGTTATGTTGGATTTAGGTCAGGCGAGTGTGAGGGCCATTCAATGGTATCAATTCCTTCATCCTCCATGAACTGCCTGCATGGGGCCGGGCATTGTTGTGCACCAGGAGGAACTCAGGACCCACTGCACCAGCGTAGGGTATGGCAATGGGTCCAAGGATTTCATCCTGATACCTAATGGCAGTCAGGGTGCAATTGTGTAGCCTGTAGAGGTCTATGCATCTCTCCATGGATATGCCTCCCCAGACCATCACTGACCCACCACCAAAATGGTCATGTTGAACGATGTTACAGGCAGCATAACATTCTCCACGGCTTCTCCAGACCCTTTCATGTCTGTCACTTGTGCTCAGGGTGAACTTGCTCTCATCTGTGAAAAGCACAGGGCGCCAGTGGTGGACCTGCCAGTTCTGGTGTTCAATGGCAAATGCCAATTCGAGCTCTGTGGTGCCGGGCAGTAAGCACAGGGCCCACTAGAGGACGTCAGGCCTTGTAGCTTAAAGCTCCAAAACGCTCAGGGATAAAAAAGTTGCCTTAAGCAGAACGTCTGAAGCTCAAAAACTTTTTGAAGTTACATTTGTAGCTCCATTTTTTGGCATGGCAAAACATAATAACATTTGATGTCACAGATTAAATTTTTCTCCATTGGCTAATGCAAAAATGCCAGAACTCAAAAAGCCTGAAAATGGCTAAACAAATCGCTCTCAAACATTTGCAAATGCGCATAAAAATGCACGAAAAATTGTACAAAAATGCTACACTCAGATGTGAATAGAGCCTGAGAGGGTCCTGCATGGCCTCAAAATGATGGTGATCCACAGTGTTGATGCAATAATAAAATGTCTTTCCAGAGACAAGGATGGCTTGCTGTAAAAATGTTTTCTTGTCTTTGTTATTTTATGAAAGAATTAAAAGCAGATAAGATAGTTTATAATTTAAAATGTTCATGAGACACTACAGAAATGCAACATAGAGTAGCACTTGGACAAAGGACATAGTTTTGCAGGGAACAAGACATTGTCACATTCCTGATGAAAGGGTCCTGTGTGGCTCCAAAACATTGTTATCTTTTGCTGTGATGTGATCATTCAATAAAGAGTTGGACACTTATATAGAGTTCCCTGGTATGCTGGTGGCATATCTCTTGCCTTGAAGTCTTTGAGATCTCCAGCTGGGGGGTCGCTACAGCACCAACTCACACTTCAGCCACATTCAGAAACGTGTGTTAGAAATACTGCTTTGGACTTTTGTTGTCACCCTGTCGCATGCTTTCCCAATGGAGACTTCAAGCAGCTGTGTCAATTTACATTGTATGTTTCAGTGTTATCACCATCAGGTAACCTACCTTGAAAAGGGACATCCAGCAGTTGCTGAAACATATGAATATAGACAGAAAGGAGGCTTCATAGAGGCTATAGTGGAGTTTCAAAGAGGCTGTAGAGGTGCTGATATGCAAGCAATGATGAAAACAGTATTTTATTTTAACAAATGCCATTCTTTAAGACACACAGTGCATTAATAAATTGAACGTCGTTCTGTTAGGGTTTCTACATACCTCAAACTAGAAGTGTCTGTATAACATTGTTGAGGACCATTAGATAGACCACCAGGAAATACACTTAATAAGGTACGCAGTAATATAATGGGCTGAAGGAAAATCTCCTTTCCAAGCTTTGATTAGAAGAACTCTGTTAATTAACAGGGAGTTAAAATTTAGCCCCAAAGTGCTGTAATATATCATTAGAATTAGAAAAAAGATCAATTTTACTAACATGGAAGTCCTTCAAGGTATTTCCTCTTCTTGGCAAATTCCTCTAACCTGCAGACAGTGTTGTTATGGGCTGGGAATATTGAAGGTGAATCATAGTCTTCTACTTGTTTCTGAGTTACTGTTTATTGTGTCCCAGACGTGAACTGAGAATGATATGTTTATTACCCATCTGACAGAGCCACAGTAGTTTTACTGAGATCTAAGAGTCCCTAAAAGGTCACAGCAACTATCTCATTTATGCCAATATCCACAATCCGTGTGTACAGAAAGCAAACTCTTACCTAGAATGCAGCCAGTGCTGTTGCAAGCCACTTTGATCCTTACCTATAAACCGTGCTTGCATAAGCCATTTAATTGAAGCAGCTCATTTTACGGGGGCCATTAAATCTTTTTCATATGCATTACATTATCTGGAGCAGGATTTAATGCTAGTTCTGCTCTTTATAAGGAGTTGGCTTGGCTGTGAAACAACATTGAAGACTGCAGAGGTTTTCCGGCCATGAGAGATTTTTTCGATAAACTTTTTCATTTTAAATCTTGCCAAACACTAGACTGACCATGGGGCTTATTTATTCGTTTGACCAGGACAGGGCAAACATTGTGTTGTCAGCTTGAGCTGGCTCCAAGCAGCGGCTGGCAGAAGGATTTTAACCCTGTAATATCTTATCAGAGATCCCTTGATACATTGTAAATTCCAGCCCTTTCATTTTACTCTTCAAGATTGCAATAAGTCAACACATTAGTAAGCAATTTGCTGACATTAAGATGGATTACTTGAAAAAAAATTACTCCTCCAAGTGCAAAAAGTCCACCTGAGTCCTTTTGTTGGAATTTTTTCTGTCTCTATATATACTTTGTTTTCTAGACATTTGTATTCAACTTGCACTACTTTAGCTAACTTCAGCATTGTGCATCTGTTAACACGTCTTTGTTGCTTTACTGGCTGGGTAGAGAATGAGAACCAGTTACAGATGATTAGCTCTTTGTTGCATTTTTGTGTATGTGATGCTTTTTAATGGAAATGATTTAAAAGTAGCCTTTCACCCACAGATCTTCTAAGCTGTGATGGCATACAGAGATGATGGTGTTGTGCATTTGGAATCGGGAGGGTCGCTTGCTTTCATGTTCAAGGATTTTCAATAACAAAATCACCTTTTATTATGTTGCTTAGTATCAAACTGCCTGGAGGTCATAACCCCACAAGGAGAGTAAAGTTGGCCACACACTGTAAGATTTCTCTCTTTCAGCCCCATTGGCCCTGCCAGTATGCCATTAAGAAGGACCCTTGACCTTATGTGGATGCAGTTGTCTCTCTGCAGAGGTCCAGCATGGCATTTGCTGAGTAAGGGCTCGTTCACACTTGACTGTTTTACCAACACTTGCCAAACGCCCCTATAGCATTTGGCAAGTGTTGGTCCAGCGGTTGCGGAGCGTTTTTTAACACTCAGCAAACGCTCTGCAGACACCGCATGCACGGTTTAGCGGCGGTTGCTAGGCATTTGCCGAGCGTTAAAAAACGCCCCACAAACGCCTATAATGAAGTTTAAGTGGTGTTACCGCTTCGCAAACGCCCCGCAAACGCCAGCTGGGCGTTTGCGGAGCGGCACCATAGACTAGAATAGGAGGCTTCAACGCCTCCTGACTCGACCAGAGGCGTCCGTTTTGCTGCGACGCTAACGCTCCCGTTAGAAATATCTAATAAATAGTGCAGCGCTAAAAATACGAATACACATATAGATAGAACATGCAATAATGGTGATACCCCTACATGGGGTATATCTATGTCCACTCTCGGTGCTGTGAGTAATATTAGATAGTGAAGTCCCCACACTATATCAA